AGCGGGGTCCTCTGGCCTCGCCCAGCCCGGGCCACGGCCAGGGCAGGTGGAGGGGATCCCCACATCAGCCCCCCTCCCACTAGTAAATCCTTACGGGATGACTTGGGTTTTGTGCATCGCTCTCAGGAACAAAGCCTGGTTCTGGCAGCACGACCCAGCGTGGCAGATGCTCTGCTACCCATCCACAGACCCCAGCACCGCTCCCGCCTGTCCAGCTGCCTGCTCTGGCCAAAGGAGGCTGGTGGGGGACAGGCCATTTCAAGTGATTTGGGATTTTTTTGTTTGTATTTTTTCCATTTGAAAATAAATAAATAAATAAAGGAGCCGTGGCTGTGGAAGAAAGCTGCCTCTCTCTGGGCTGCCAAACCACTAATGGGGGCAGCTCCTCCCGTCCCAGCCGCACTCAGCTGGGCAGCCAGCACAACAGCCCGTGCCCGCCAAGGCGGCAGCAGGACAGGGGTCTCAGCCCATCCCCAGACCCCCAGGACAAATCCTGGCCTTGCCACCTCTGTGCTGTTTCCTCACTGCTTAATCCTCTGCTGATGGAAAAGGAGATGCTCACTGCTGAAAAATCAGCGGCTCCCTTGGTGGTCTCTGCATTGCCCCAGCAGCGCATCCCGACTATCCGGCACTGCTGTGGAGCCTTTCAGGGACGTGCCAGTCCGTGGCTCTGTGGCTGGGCAGCCGGCAGGCAGCAAGACAAGGCATGCTGTCCCTGGAGCACCAGGAACCCCTGCTCAAGGAGCGTGGTGTACAGGCGAGGGCTGCAGGAGCAGAGAGGGGAGCAGCAGGGACGCAGACACCATCGCAGCAGAGGAAGCACCGTGCCGTGCTGCAAGCACCAGGCTGTGAAAAGCATCCCCCGTTGCAGGCAGCCCGCAGGGCGCTGTCGGGAGCCCCGGCCACACTGCAGGCAGCTGCCTCCTGGGCAGGAGGTGAAGCTGCGGCCGCTGCAAGCTCCCCAGCATCTGTCCGTCCGGGAACTGCTGAGCAAAGGCGGCACCGGGTTAACCCCCCCCGACGCAATCCTGATGAGACCAGCCCCAGCACCTGCCTGGTGCCGAGCAGCAGGCAGCGAGCCAGAGCTCCTGCCAGCCCGCAGGCAGAGCCCCGCTCCTGCACTCACACCCAGCACAGCGGGCTGCGAAACGCTGACAGACCCCCCTGCAATGCCCGGCAGGACCTGAACACGCACATAACTGAGGACGCCTGGCCTCTGCAGTCCTGTGATGCTGCCAGCTCCCCCAGCATCCCCGTCCCACTGCACACCCCACCGAAGGGGACCCAGTCGGTGCAGCCACCACCACCTCCCACCCCACCAGCCCCAGGGCAGCACGTAGCATGGGGACAACCCCGTGGGAAGACTTTGCGCTGGGAGGAGAGAGGAGAAACCCCCGGGGATGGCTCAGCAGCTGCATCCATCCACCCCAGGGTGACTGAGGGTGCATTGAACAAGGCACCCGCTAAACCCTCCAAGGAGGAGTCTCTGCTACGTGCAGCCAGGGCACAGGCGTAGGGCCACGCTCACGTGTGCCACCTGCAAAGGCCTTTTAATTCCCTGTTCATCAAGACACAAGTTATGGGGAAACCCCTGCTCAGGGGAGAGAGACGGCACCAGCACCTGATGGTGGCAAGGGGAAAGCCCAGAGGTAACAGTGCTGCGAGCCGGGCTCGGGTGGCAGGTCGAGGACCCGGGCTGGGGTCACCACTGCTTTTGGGGCACGAGCATCTCCTGCCCGTCCTCCCCGCCTCGATGGGAAATTCCATCCCTCCCAGCAGCCGTACCATGGCGCAAGCCCCAGAGATTCGGTGCCCAGCTTTTGGGGGCTCTGCTCCTGCTGGGGAGCAGCCGCCCGGGGAGCCAATGCTGGCCCAGCGGCACATCGGCGCTGTGGAGGCAGGGCATGAATGGAAATCATTATCATCCACGAGACCACACACAGGCACGCACGCTCCGCGCTCGGCTCACCCCATTATCCCACTGAAAGGGAGCCGGGGCCGGTGGTCTCCGCGGGCCTCACCTCCGTATCGGAGAGGAGGGCAAGCTGCAATCTGCTCCCTTTTATGCATATTCAGCATGACCCCGGGACTGCCGGCAAGCTGCCAGAGAGGCCCAGGAGTGGGTATTTCTCTCCCCGGCCCCCATCTGCCCCCCCTTCCCACTTCCCATCTTCGCTGCCCCCACTTCAGATCAAATGGAGACACTGCTGACTAAGCGGGGAGCGATGGGATGAGCCCCTCGGCACTGAATCCAGCCCAGCACCAGCCTGGATCCTGCACGAGGAGGGACATAAGCGATGGGGCGCATCTCCCAGGGACAGCGTCCCAATGGTGTCCCCAGCGAGGTGCTCGGGTGGCAGCCAGCTCCCAGCCAGCAGCAGCACCAGTGGGGCTGGGGGGATGTGGCAGCGGGGCTCAGCCTTCCCGAGGAAGTGGCCGCCCTCCCGGCTCCTCCCCAGAAGCGGCTGCATTTTTGAGGTGGGCGATTTCCTCACTCCTCTGCTCGGGGAATGCTAACAGCCGTGCGGTTTGGAAGGAAGTCACGCCGCCGTAGCGCTCCAGAAGTGCTTTAAAAAAATTAGCTACCGCATCCAACGCCTCCACACCCCTTCTCCCTACAGCAACACGCTTCCCAGGGTGACCGGCAGCATTTCCCCACCTCACGGGAGGCTTGTCAGGGCGATGCTCCAGCCCACCGTGGGTTCCCCTTCCCGGGAGTCAGTGCTGCCGAGAGCGATGCCAGGTCAGACACGTGCCCAGAGCTCTGCGTATCCCAGTACCGAGCCATCGGGTGGGTGCTTGGTCCCCAAAATTGAATGCACGAGGCAGGTGCAGCAGGTGAGCCAGGGCAAAGTGAGCAAACTTCCCCAAATCGGGATGCTGATGCCTACGGCAGGCCCAGGGTCACCACCCAGCAGATCGGGGCAGCGGCAGCTTTGCTGAGGTAATTACAGGATTAAGTGGAACAACACAGGGCGGGGAGGGAAGAGGGATATTAGCCAGATTTGATCCCGGGACCTTTGCGGCATGGGAGCAGCCTTCCCTAATTAAAATGGAGGGGAAAGGCGTGAGTGGCCCAAGCAGTGCTTTGCTGCAGCCCTGCCACCGAAAAATGGGGGTTTAGAGGGCAGGTGATGGCTGAAGCCAGCACTGCTGGGTGCGGAAGGGGAAAGCCCTGAGGGAAGGCAGGGAAATGGTGCTTCCCTCCTGGCAGGGACCTGTGCCACTCCCCCGGAGCCTCTCCAATGCCACCGGCACGGCGCAGCGGGCTGGGCTTCTCCTCTGGGCCAGGGCAGCACGGTGCGAGAGGTGCTCGCATCCCCTGAGGAAAGCATGTGGCCTTACTTGGAACCGGTTGGGACGGGGATGCCTGGTCTCTGCAAGGTACTGCACCACCCTGCGCACAGAGACGAGGTCTGGGGTGCCAGCACGGGGCTGGGACAGAGCCACCCTCCCACATGGGGCACCAAAAGCCTCATCCCTGAGCCGTGCCGTCCCCAGTAAAGCCCACCAGCAGCTCAGGTGCCCTCTGAGCAGGAGGGCGCTGGGGGGGGACAGGAGGGGACCTGAGGCACAAGAGGAATGATGTGCTCAGAGAAGCTGTAACTGGGCACAAATGTCCAGAGCGTGTTCCTTAACCAGGACGTATCTGCTACCAGACCTTGCACATTCCCACCTTGTAAGGGCCCTTCCTAACGAGGGCATCCCCATTCCCTCCTCCCTGCGGGAGCGGCCCACTGCAGATCTGCCCCAGCCCCATCAACAGGACCCCTCTTGGGGAGCTGCTGGGG